TATATATATATGTATATATTATTTTTCCTTCTCAGAATTGCTCGGCTCCATTAACGTTGATCCTATCTGCTGATGCTATCAGAGCAAATTTTACACAGTGCTTACAAGCTTCACATAGGTAACCAATAACCTCAAGCTCTTTTAGCTGCATTTGCAGCATTATTTACAGGAGATTAAGAATCATTGTCAGACTTAAGTGAAACATACCTCCCCCTGCCTCTCCCACTTATTTCTTTGCATTTCCTAATTTTATTTTATTTTATTTATTTATTTATTTTTTTGCTTGGATTAGCAGCAATAAAAGTTGAGGTCTTTAATGTCATCCAAGTCCCCAAAGTATAATGAAAAGAAGAAATAACACTTCTGGGCAAGGCATTGTAATCTGTCCCAAAAGAGCTACACCAAGAGAAACACACTGCAGCCTGAAGCATTAAGTATCTATTGCTCATCGGCAGAAGAGGATTATGAAGTAATCCCCTCAGGGATCCTCATAATTAGGCTATAACATTAAATGTTTACATAAGAATAATAAAATTAAGGGCAAGTTACATGGGGTGAAGGATCTGCACGGGGTAAAGGCCGTAATGGCAAACTGTTGGGGCTTTTTTTTTATTAAGTGAAAAATAAAACATGCCTCAAACAAACTCAGAAAATGTCTAATACCAATGAGGTGGACATTTGGGAGGAGTGTTTAGAGGAAGAGTTTAATCTTAGCTACCATTTACGGAAGATAATGCCGTGTTTGACTAATGTTTGTGTAAAAAGAAGGTAGGCTACTCGCACAGATTTTAGACGGTTTGCTGAAACACACTTTCCAAATAACAAAAAAATAAATAAAAATAAAAAATGTTGCACTTTTCTGGCATTCAGATTTGATCTTTTAAGAAATGTGGATTTACTTTACTCTTTTATAAACATGTCACCACTCGAGTGATCTTTATTTCGAATGGGGTCTTAAACCAGATACAAAAAAAGGCAAAATTAAAGCAAAACAAAACGGTTGTGGCAGCTAAGCCACACTTGGTGGTGTACTAACAAGCTTCCGGTATGCTAGCAGAAGACTCATAACAACAGACTACTCCTTAACGTGAGAAATGGTCTGGCCGGATACTCGCTTTCTCTCTCTCTCTCACACACACAGACACACACGTATGTTTTACTCAGTTCTGGATAAATATGTGCAAACAAAAGAAATTCATTTAATGCCAGCTTGAGCACAGGCAGCGTTTTCAATGTTTGTGGGGGAGAAAAGCTAATCATAGGTTGAGTAACCACAACTGCCTGAGCTCATGAGTGCAAGCGCCGCCCCTTTGGCAGCAGCAGCAGCAGCAGCAGGCACTGACCCAGCGCCTGGCAGGAGGAGGACTGTTGTTGACAAGAATCTAGTCCCAGATCTCTCATTAAGACTGTTCATGCCTGGGATTATATATGCAGGACAAACTCAGATCGTTCATCTGAAAAGCATAATCTCACTGTTGCGGCACACACAGAAGCCCCCCCTATTGACAAAAACAAGAACTTAACACGCACTTAGCATAGAAAAGAAATCCCAGCTAATAATCTTAGCTTAGTACGCACGTTATAAACATATTACAATTACCGAACTCAACAATGCTGCGTTTGCAAGGCCACATGTAGCTTTCCCCGGAGAAAAGCTACTCGTCATGTACTAGTCTCTGCTATGTGCTTTAGATTGGCCGATGAAGGGTTCATCTGACAGACATGAAGCGTTTGGCTGCCTGCTGGCCCTGGGTCAGAGAGGAGGGGTTAGTCTCATCTGTGAGATCTTAAAGGGATTTCGCTGCTCAGAAGCGCCCTGCTTCGGTTTACATTCACACATCAAAATATTAGCACCACAGGGCTGTGAAACATATTTTTAATGATCAACGTTTACTCCTTACTTCCCAGCAAACAATGTAAACCTGGAATGCACATAAGTATAACATTTGTTTGTGAATTGCATTTGCGAAATATGCACATCTACAATTCAAAGTTCTACAAAAGAGAAACTAATTAAATTAGAAATATCCAGCGACAGTCTACTAGCAGAGGAATGTAAAACTACAAAGAACTATTTATCTTAATCTTAGGAAAATGAGATTCTTTGCTCTTATTTTCCAAACAAAAGCAATACTTTTGTTTGCTTACTTTAGTAAGCAAACAAAAGTATATGAGCACATAGTTTTCATATGAATGGAGTAGTCTTTGTGCCTTCATTCTGTTGTGGAACTTCTATGCAGATACTGCATGTACAACAACTTTAATATAATTATGAATAAGGAAGCATCTAAATAATTTCAGTGACTTTAAAACTAAAAGCAAACTTTCATGATTACCTGGCTTAAAGTCAAAGCATGTGTATGCCTAACTTACAGAACTGTTGAAGGAAACAAACAGCAAGTAGAAAATTGCACAAGTTACATAAGTGACTGACTGTGTAACACAAACATTCATAGCTAATTTAGGTTAGATTAAGAATAAACTGAGAAGGATCGTAGTTCTGAAGATTAGAGGCTTGTTTTACTGGAGGATACCTTACATTACAGCTGGTTCAACTATAAAACCATAAAAAAATAAGTAAAAATAAAAATCAAGCTCTGACAAAATGAAGCTTTCAGCTTTAACCATGTCTTCACAACATGTCGCCATGAACTGGAGCTCTAATATACATAAATAAATAATAGCTATTGAAAAGAATTTGTTACATATAAATAACTTCTTATTATTTAAGTAAGCATAAAATGAGTTTAGCAGTATATTGTAACTTCATAATTAAATATAAGTCATTTTTCAATCGTGTCCGCCATTACAGCGGTAATAACATTAGGTTCAGGCTGATGTTTAGATAAGCATAAACAACCCTCTTTTCAGACCCACTTCATGACTTTCTCCTCTGAAAAAGTCCAAACAGAAACAGACGACTGTTGGTTTATTATCATTTAGATACTGATTCATGTTTGCTAAGCTTGATCCTTGCAAGAAAAAAAAAAGAAAAAAAAAAGGTATAAAGCATGAAAGACCCAATGAGGTGTAAAGCATATGTCAAGTCAGCAAAATGGTCCGGTGGTAAACTTAAACTTCAAACGCTGCACATGAAGGTGCATCTCAGTAAACTAGAATATTCTAATCAGGCTCAATTGTGGGACTAAAATACTCTTTTAAGACATTTCAAGCAAGTATTTAACACACTTTTCATTAAACCAAATTATTGTATTAAATGTGTTTGTTGTTCATCAGATAAAATCTTAACCTAATAAACCAAATGTAGTTTCATTTGCTTTAAAACTGACTTTACCATCATGACGGCTTGAAAACATCAGTCTGATCTATGCAAATATTGCATTTCACTTAGTGACTTACAGAAAGAAATAATAATTTCAGTAATATTTTAATTTATTGCGATGCACCTGGACATATAAGAAAACACGATGGTTTGATGACAGTCTTCTGTGATGATGTTTCACTGTGGACAACAATGAACATGCATAGTTAAAACAATGCAATCAATGAATGCAAAGTGATTTAAAAAAAAAAAGTAGAAAAAAAAGAGGTGCAGTAATGTCTGGGGTATTTGAAATGCTGATGTACCGCCAACGTTGTCCATCTCCTTCTCATGGAGCAGGCTGACGTTATCGTCTTCTCCATCCAGGACCAGTTCTGTCTCTGGGTTCTGACAGGCCAAAGTTGGGCTCCGAAAAACTATCTTGGACTTCACAACCTTTTCTTCCTTTAAGGCTGTAAAAAAACAAAAAAACAAACAAAACAAAAAAACAAATGAGACATCTCAAAATGTAATCTGCCATCTCTGAAATACTAATACGGTTGGGTTAGAAGACTGGACTTATATACATTATATTTTTATGAATATGAAAGAGCAACTAATGTATAATCACCTGAATCTTTTCATGTTCTAGGTAGATAGAATAAGTAAAAGTTGTGTCTGCTATTTATGTGGGAAAACAGACTAGTACCAACCAATCATCGTTTAGCTGATTTTACTTGTCAACATAAGAGCTAAGTAGAGGCAGATGTGGAAAATCTCTATCTAAATATATTTTCCAAACATTTTCTTTGCTTTCTGAAACTGAACTCCCAAACAGTGAGAGGATACAGAACCAGATCATCTATATACTATTTAGATTTGGGCACTGCTATCAATTTGAACTAACCAATTAAGTTACTGCAAAACAAAAGTCAAAAACAAAATGGAAACACTCGTTTTAAACATCACGGATTCAAATACAATCATTTGTAAAACAAAGCAAACAAACAAACAAACAAAAACAAAAAACTTAGTAAAACTTGCTATCCTTAAACTTTTATATCTGCAGCTGAGAATTAAATTGCGTTTTATAGCCAAGCATCACTGCATACACCCAATTCAACTATATATTTTTGTTGGAATGATGTTATTTGTATAAAAGAAATGTCTCTCAATATCAGTACCCTAGAAGATGTTCCACCAGACTACCACCATTTATGTCAGTTGCAAAGTATATGTATTCTGAAATTAGGAGAAAAAAAATGAAAAGACAATATAACAATATAGTAGACTCTATTTAGTCTTATCACACAAAATAGAGAAAACTAAAGCAACTAAACACAATGACCCTGATTTTATTTACACACCAATCTATCTGCATATGAAAAGACTGCACAGGCTCTTCGTGGGATTCTGCACCGAATATATTTTGAGTGGTTTAACTTGAGAAGTGTGCCAGCTTTTATTTTTAGGTCAACAATAAAAGACAATCTTTATCTTAAAAGACCAAAAGCTGAGTCGGGGGGATACATATCACGCTCGGTGTAGATTAGAGATAATATTAGCTGCTTTTGGAGACTTGACAAGAGTGGGACTGAGCAGACAGCTCAATTAGGAGCCTGTTTATAGCAGGACGTCATCATATGGCGATGGTATAAAGTGGAAATCGAAAAGGATGTGTTCTTACGCAGTGCAAAAACAAAAGCCTCACAGTGCATTGATCATCTTAAATGTGGCCAGCTTGAACATGTGCCTGTCATACGGCGGCTCGAAACACTTCTGTGATGCCCCCACCGTCCAGTGTTGGAAATAACCAGTGGAGAAACTTGTGTGCAAGGGGAAGAACTCATATCAAGGTAAGGGAGGTGGCTGACATATGTCTGACATGTTTCCTTTCACCACAGTTCTTAATTCGCCTTTCCCTCCCTTAAGGAACATGTACCTTGTCTTGAAGAGGTCACATTTGACTGTTGTCAACACTGCTACTGGGGGGGGGGAGGTTAAAAAAAGCCTTGCTTCCTGCTCTGTCTCATATCTGGTGTTCTTTCATCAGACGAGGGGAAGAAGTTGGAGTGTTTCGGAAATGAATTCTGTGCAATGTTACATGGAAAAAGCCTGCCAGTGGTCAGAAATCAAAGCAGGAAGAGTGAAACCTAAAACTGGATTTCTGTAAACCATCATTATGCCTCAAGTAAATGAAGGAGAACTCAACAGACGCACGGAGGCTCTGACTGGTAGTTCTGGAAGGGCTTTAGACGACCAAATAAACCGTGGTGATTTCAGCATGTAAAATCAACATTAGGTGAGGCATGTGTTTGTGTGTCAACATTACCCTCCAACTACCGGAACGGACTTCCGTTCATAGAGAAAGCGTGATTACAAATAAAACAACAAATAAAGTGTCAAGAGTAAAACCTATGAACAGGTTTAGAAAAACTATTGTGCTAAAAGTGTTTTTGGTAAGTGTTATCACTTACACAGCAGAAAGTGATAAACAGTGGAGGATTTAAGGCTTTGCAGAAAACTAATACAAGACGTATTATAATAATAGTGCCAAGACATCTGTCAAACAGGACAAAAAAACAAAAAAAAACAAAGCAAAAGTTGGTCGCTGGCTTTCTCGTGTGACAGCAGTTTTATTTCTTGTTTGCTTTCGAGCTCTTCAGTAACAGTGCCAAGAGAAGTCACCTATAAGCCAGTCTCATGGGTCCTCTTGTTCAATCACTGAGCTGAAACTGCCTCAGAGTGCACTAATTACACTCCGTAAAGTGCACTGCAGAGCTTTCATGCCCTCATTGAAGGCTGATGAAGATCTGCCGGCTGTCACCAAAGGAGGCGGTCTTGTAGCACTCATAGCTGGGGTTCAGCAAGGTCCTTACAGTTCCTTACAGGGTACCTGGGGAGTCTCTGCTCTCAAAAAAGTTTGAGACAGTAGAAACTTTTGTTTTTTTTTCTTTTAGAAATCTTTGATAAGTTCAATCCCAGTTAAATCCTTGAATAAGTAAGAGAAAGTAACCAGACAAATTGATGACGAGCTACAACCAAGTAGTTCAAGACAAAAGAGCCCAGAAAGGCTGAAGATGGGAGAAATAAAATGCTGAGGAAGATTGTTAGTCATTTAAGCATCTGTGAAAAATACTTCAAGACAATATGTTGTTCAGGCAAATCGTTGAAGAGAAAAATAAACTATGTTTTTGTCATTAAATCTGCATGTCTTCATTATGGGCTTTCAGCTATAAAACTGGACTGACTGCAGTTCAGATCCACCATCATTTCAAATGATAATTTACAAGTTACAACAAACAAAAAAAAAGAAAAATTAAAATAAACCAAATTTAATTTTATATTAACAGAAACAAGCAAAAGATGAATTGGTCTCTCGAGAATCAACACAAAATTAAAATAACAAATAAATAAATAAATAAATAAATAAATAAATAAATAAATAAATAAATAAATAAATAAATAAATAAAATTACACTGACCCACAGGTCAATTAATCTTTTAAAGAAACTCCACAAAATAAAATGGCATCAAGATTTGCTCCTGTCAACGTAGATAATTTGCCTCTTATCTTCACAACCATTTAGAACATTGTCTCAAAGTTTCAGCAATATCTTAAAGGTATAAAATATACAGAGCACATATGCATCAGTGGGAAAGAGATACTTGGCATTGTTTCCAAAAAAAGCAGCATACCAGCTGGAGAATAGATATAAATGTGAAGCACATAAAAAGCCTGGCCAACAGGTTCGGTTCAGAACTTAAGCAATTGTGGCCAAAGGTGCGTTTACAAGCTGCTTCTATATGAACATTACATAACACATAAGCTCTGTTAAAAATACTAAGTGCTATACCACAGAAATAAATTGACATCAGTTTGTTAAATTCATTATATGTTGAAGTTTCTCCTGTTTAATAAACACAGAAAGACCCCCCGTCCCTCCCCCTCCAAAGATTTTTGAGTTTGCGAATGCTCCAGGCCAAAAGCTGAGTTTTGAAAAATAACAACTCTCTACACATATTTTTAAATGTATATAAAGTGAGGTTCATAGAATGGCTTAGCTACTTTTTTTCCAGACTCTGTTTCTGATCCAGCACTACACTCTGGACTCCCCCCTCCGCTGTCTCCACATTCCACAAGGAGAGAAAAAGTCCTTTTCATGGGATCACGAAGGCGATGCAGTTCTTCCCTCTGTCTCTTAACCTTTATTTAATCTGCACTGAGGAAAAATAAATGAGGGGGAAAATGACAGTTTCATACTTCCTGTGACACAAGACATTCGTAAATTTTTCGAGGCTGTAAAAGTAAGCAAGGCAACTTTTGATGTAGAGTGGTTTACACAGTACAGACTCTTCCTCTAGGAGTGATCTTTATCCAATATTGTGGTTAAGTGCTTTGCGTGTCAACTTCGTTGTCACGCAACAGTCTCCATTTCTGCAAAAAAAAACAAAAAAAAAAAAACTGCAAAGGCAAAAAGTGATAATCCTGCATCTTTACTTAAATATGTGCTGTTCATAGCGAAGTATTAAGCATGTTAATGTCTTTCTCAGCGAATACATTTCCAATAGGGCTGCTGACACAAAATTAACCCCATATGTTATATGTTAGCAACAACCCCAATAATTCACACATACAGAGGAATCAAAACAAGCTAGCCCATAAAATTGTGTAATAAAGTGGAAGAGCACAGGGAATAAGCACTGAAAAGACTGTAATTTGTGAAATACTTAGTAGAAAAGCCTCTATTTCCAATGAAAGGTTCAAGTTGTCTACTCCTGTAAGGGGAAATGAGTTTCATGAACTGCTCAAGAGTCATGTCGAGCCACTGCTCCACGCAAACGGTCGTCAAATTCTAATGCTTCAGGGAGCCTCTTCTATGTACTTTAGATTCTTGCCAAGAACATTTCAGTAAATTTCTCTTCTCTATTAATGTTTTATTCAGTTATATGAAGTCTGCCAGTCCGATATGCTGAAAAATGTTCCTGCCCCCAAAAATTCACCGTTGGTGGTGATGTTTTTCGGTGATGTGCAGTGACACTTCTGTGAAATTACATCTACAGGGTGAAGGATTTCAGTCTCATCTCACCAGACCAGTTGGATTTATTTGCTCTTTTTTATTTCAAATGTTCTGCAACAAACATTAAATGAGCGTTAATCGTTTTTGTTTTTTCAACAATGAAATCTTGTGGGATGAATGTACACAAAGGCCTTGTGGTTGAGTGTATTACTTTTTGTTCTCATAAAAATTCTAAGTCTCTTCTAGAGCTCTCTGTAAGTAATGTTTGGCTCTACTACTACTTTTCAAGTTCCTGTTGTGTCATAAATCATGCAATTCTGAAAATATGTGCTTCACACTTCCGGATTATTGGTGCCGGCTGGAACATTCAGTAGTTTAGAAATGAATCTGCTGCTAATTCCATCAACATGGTTTGAAAGAAAAAATAAAAATTGAGCCAAAAACCTTAAGAGCATTTGTAAAATGTTTCTTGTCAAATACACTGGAAATAATTTTAAAAAAAATTTTCATAGGCTATTAATTAGGGATACATAAGCAGATCAGCGTTTTTGGCTTTCTATACCTTTTAGGAGGTAGGTTTCATTTTTTTCTCTCAGTCTTGAGTCATTCCACACAATTTATTTTATGGATTAAATAATTTTAATTGATTTTTATGAGTGGATTTCTTCATCAAACCCTCAATAAATAGATTCAGAAAATGCTGGCATGCTCATTACTTTTGTTTCTCACCGCATTTACTTAAAACCCACATTTAAATATCTGGATATGTATGTCGGAAAATACTGCGATGTCATTTGCCACAGTATAATGCCTTTAATTATGATGTTGGTAAAGGTTAATATCACATCATGAGGCTATGCCTGCTGAAGTAAAAGGCTATAAAGATCTCCGCCTGGTGCAATCAGCTTCAAGAGACGCCGCTCACCTGAAATGAGACAGCAAGGACACCAGGAGGTAAAACACCCCGTTAAACATTTGGATCAATATTAACGTGACTTCCATTTCATGCTTGCCCAATTCCAATCACCTAACAATATAGTCTGATTCTGGGCAGAGGCTGGCTGGACCAAGGCAGGTTATTACAGGCAAAGGCCAGAGACCGAATGTGCTAGCTAAGCTGTCAGCACTACTAATAGACAATGAGGCAGAGTTTAAGGTAGAGTTCAACCATCAGAGTCTACATCCTTTAAAGCACAGACATACAATGGACAAAGAAACCCAAAAGAAAACATTCCAACTCTTACGAAACAAAACTAGTTTTCCCATTGCCATTAAAGTTGCTTGAAAGATATCAGCAAAGTATCACCCATAGGAAAAACATTCTGTATTACTTTGATGATTCTAAGGTCGTCTCATACACACAAATCCAACACGTGGTATAAAAAACAAACAAACAAAAAAACAATACCACTTCAGTTTAAAAAATACTAATTCCATTTTTAAAGTCAAAATATATGCCTCAGCTGATTAAGCGAGTTCACAAGAATGAATTAATCCAGCTTCTAAATTATTGGGAAACACAAACACTTTATTTCTTTCAGAAAACAAAGTAGTAATAAAAAAATCTTGCACTTGTCTTTTCAAACACCTCCTTCCACTGCAGCTGCATAGAGCTTAATTTACAACTGTAATGTTTACTTTGCTGGCTAAGACACTGGGATAAACAGAGGCTTCTGTCAAATACCAGACTATTACAATCTTTAGTCTGTTGGGTCTGTTCTTTGGTTTCTTTGAAAGCTGCTATGTCCCCCAGTTCTCCCCACTTCCCCCCCCTAATTTTAACTTGATTAAATATTTTCCAGATCTGAATAACTAGAGAAAGAAAATAAAGGCTAAAACATATTTGTATTTCCATACTATATATTCACAGTCCAGTTCATTCTCAGTCAAAAATATTTCAGGTTTTTGAACAGCTTTACCTTTAGGATTATATGCAGTAGATTCATTTTGACCTTTTGTATTTATAATGTAAAAGTTACGGCAAAATGGTCTCTAAACTCTGTTAATTTGAAACTAAAATAGCATAAACTTTGGAAAACAAGAATTTTGAAGTGTTTAATATAAGACTGAACTTAAAGATTATTAATCAATATGTTAAGATATGTAAACTGAAAAAAAGATACTGGTCCAATACATGTCCTTGAGAAACAATGAGTAAACATTTTGTCTGTTCTCTTTTTCTTACAGATATTCTCTCTCATCAGCTTTGCACATTTGAAATTTTATTACCTCTGGGCCTCCATCTGGTTATCCTGGACATATCATATCACAGTTAAAAATGAGGATGCCATATTTGTTGAATAATAAACACTTGAGATTTCACAGCAGGATGATCTGCTAGGACAGCTATTGTCAATATCATGGCAGTAAAAAACAAAAATTGTAACTGCAAATTGTCCCGGCTCCCCGAAAATCTGCTTAAGCTCTCACAAAGATGGAAAAAAAACAAAAAAAAAACAACATTTTTATTTTAACTCCTAATAAAAGCCTTTGCTACACAGCCCCATCAAAGTCAGTTAAAATAAGCTTGAAAAAGCAACTCAGCTTTGATAGTGAGCATCAGAGTGCAGGCAATCTCTTTCAGCTGACAAGTTTACACATTATTCCGCTCATTAAAACTAGAGGATGCTAGCAGGATCTCAACAAGTCTTTAGTCAGTTACTTTGATAGAAGCAGAAAAATATAAGTAATGGAATTAAAAGAATTAACATTGGAGATCTATGCCACATATGAAGAAGTTCAGCGGGCAACTGAACTTCACAAGGTTACAAAATAAACAGGCAACACATACCTAATACTTTTAATGGTTGCATTACAATGAACTGAAGAGAAAACGTGGTGACGTGGACGGACTCAGAACCATTTTGACTATAAATGATCACAGACACATTCTGATGCAAAGCAATTGAGAACATATTCATTTCGTGGACAGAAATTCACAAACTCAAATTTATCTCTAAAAAATGTGTTTGTGTATTTACAGGCTTATTATCTTGATGCATTACATTTTACACCTCACATCTCTGCTGAATGACTAAATTTGGAAATTCCTTTTATTTTTCCCAGTGCAAATCCAAACGGCTAAGAATAGCTTCCTACGACTATTCTTTAAGGTTTCTCTACAATGGCAGAGAAACCTGGTAACTCAGAAAATCCAAAAAACATTACAAAAATGAACAACAAATCAACATCAGGAGCAGAAGATGTAAGGACTGCATGTATGTTATGACCACCTGCTTCTTCAACAGCTGCCAGGTGTTCATCTAGAGCATTGGAGAAAAAGTCTAAGGTAACCATAAGACACACAGACTGAAGCAACTGTTGTCTTAAGTAGCTCAACATAGAAATAAAGAGAGGACACTATTAAGATCCAAAATCCCACAAGGGGAATAATTAAAGGTAACTGTAGCCACTGCGGTTGGTGCTTCTAATAATTTTGCGATCAACCCATTAAACTTAAACCCATTAAACATTCACCCTGCTGTTCAGTTACAGGCAGAAGGACTGGAGAATTTCATTTTGACAAGGCAGCTTTATTGTGAAAGCCTGGGGTGTAAAGTTTTACACAGACGTGACTCGAGGCGGTAGGCAAAACTAAACAATGAAAAGTTACAGTCAAGGAGAAAATGGTAACAGAAGACAGATTTTTTTGTGTCATATTTGTTAGTTATACTTTGCAACCACTACAACTAGGAATGTTAAACTCCATGACCAAAAAAATGTACGCAGTTTGTTTTATATTTTCCACAAATAAAAGAAGCACCTACCATACTCTTGTGAGGACTTGCATGCTACATTCAAGTGGGTGGAGCCAAATGGGTTTCGGACAAACCTCCTCCTCCGCCGTAGGTCGTCTTCCCAGTAGTCGAGACGCCAGAAGTCATGCAGCTGACTACGAAAGAGACAAAAAGATGGGCAGATTAGACAGAGAGCACACTCCTCAATGATGGCCTGATTACAGCAGCCACATTTAAAAAAAACATCTGGGGGAGAAAAATCAAACCAGATATGGTGGGCTTTATTAGGGTGAATGCTGCCAAGCTCTCTAGAGGCCTAAGTAATGCTACCTCTGCAAAAGCCAATAGCATAACAGCGGGGAGCACCAGCAAACCCGACATACATAAATCTTAGGCACCCCCATTTACAAATACGGCTTCAAATTACAAGTATAAATGGCACAGCTTGCCTTCTTTTTTTACAATGTTTTTTAACAAGTCTTGTAAATCAAAGGTAGGAACCTCAATGCAGACAGCGTGGAGTTTAATGATCAGGGTCTTGGGGCGGTTGAAGCATGAGCCTATAAAACAAACCCTCCCCCCACTGCATATGTAGAGCCATGATTAAAATAATGTGCTGAAATATTCATTGAAATGATTCCCAGGGCCCTGGAGCAACCCAATTGAAAACTGCATTTTTTATTCATTATTAATAACAGCGAATTAAAGCCATAAAGAAGAAAAAAAAAAAGAAAACAGTTCCAGCATGTGGTAGCCATCTTTGTAAATGATTATTCCAACATAAGTGAGGACCTATGGATAATTTTATGGCTTGCAGCTAATGCAAACCATTAAGCAAGGGGACAAGCATTAGGGTTTTAAGTACACAGCTTTCCAAATGTGTACTAGCTGATGCCATTTTTAAGCCTGTGCACTTCACAGAAAATACAGCTGCAGTTTTCATCTCTCTTTTTGCTTATATGTGAAGAGATTGGGCACTATCTTGATTCATTTGGTCAATCGCATTAAAAACTGCACATTCCAACACTGTAGCAGTTGGAATAAAACGGACAATATATTTGTTTTACTCATCAAAATAAAGCACATCTTGTTGGAGCTAACGATTAGGAAACCCGAAGCTCAAAAACACCCTCTAATCAGGTAAAATATGTTTTTAAATTCAGGAGGTGATTTGTCAGTGTGCGTCAGTTGCTGTAAGGCCTTGGCAGGCAGCCTTGTATTTTGTTCGATTTTCGCCCCCTTTCTCAGCCACACAGTTCTGGATCAGTCTAAACAGATTAAAGTGTTAGAGGGGATCACATCACAAAATAGACCCTCCTTGTTCCATGAATATAATATTCACCAGTGTAAGAAATCAAAAGACTCAGGAGAATTAGCCGAGTCCTGACAGCAACAAGGGCTCAGTTTCAGTTAAATATCAATCAAAAGCGGGTATGAGCGGTGAGTGTGTCCAAGCAACTGCGGATGTTGCATTCACAAAGTATCATGAGCCGGTATATGCAAAGTAACACTGAATGCCTTGAGCTTGTCCCCTGCCAATCTCCCTCAAAGCTTAACTGAGAAGAAGACAGATGTCAGTGGGTGGAAAGGAGACACCCACGTAAATGATATTGTAAATGCAAGATTACACAGTGTAAAAAATGTAAATCCACGGTAGGCAACTGGGTGATTATTGTGGAAGTAGAGAGAGCAGATGCCAGTGGGGGATAAATCCCTTCTTTGAAGATTTCCTTATTACAGTATTAACCATTATAAAATGCTTTCAAGTAGTTTGCTTGAGGTTGCTCATTACAGTTTAAGTCAGAGTGCCGAAACACAGGAGTACAACAAAAAAAACATGCAAACGTTTCAATAAAAAACAGGACTTAAATATATTCTATAGCTTCAAGTAGACTTTTTGAAACAACGAGTAAGACCAGTGACATTCTAAATCCATGGCTTTCAAGCTGTTTCAATTGGTAATATATGTTAAATGAACTGTATGATCAATGGTCTGGACTGAATTTGTTTTGTAGTTATGCTGACCACATGAAGGTGTTTTACAATGAAAGTCCAATTTATATATCTGAACAAAACATTCACACATTCAGACAGGAACACAGGGCGGCTTTGCAATTCCTAGACCACTGCTTCACCATCACAGCCTCTCAGCACTTGTGTCACTTGGGTGGCCTATTCAGAAGAAGTAATTCATGTTGCTGATAGGTAAAACACAAGTCAGTTCATCTAAATGAATGTCTACTGGAGAAAAGTGGATTGCTTCCTCTGTGTCGAGGACTACAAATATCATAGGGATGATAGGATAAAGCTGGGAAAACTGTGCTTTGTTTGCAACAGTGGAGGTAATCTGGTCTGTTTTGTGGAGCAAAATTTTTGCCAAAACACAGCCATCTAATTTCTGACTTGTACTTATACAGTGGACCCCAGCCTATTTGTTGTTCAATATTTGCTGATTTTTTTTGTTTAGGAAAATCTGCCTTTCACTGATTATTCTGTAGAGCATATCTGAAATAGTCAAAAGAAAATCCAACTCAGGAAGCTGAGACATGTAGGCCAAATGCAACTTGACAGGCTATTGGCTTGCATTTGGTGATCGGCTGTACTCCCACCAGCAGCATAAGGAACACTGTGGATGTTTGCTTCTATGGTAGTGCTAAGACAATTTCCACTGTGTGCATTTGGTGTCTGAACTATTAAAATATGCAGTTATAGAATTTTTTAGATATGGTCTCAAATGTTTGCGGATTTCAGATGTTCGTGGGTGGCTGTAGTATCCCATGAATACTGGTGCTCCGCTGTAATCGTGAGATATGGATGGCCAGTAGAACAAGATACTGGAAAAATGTGACAGAAATCTTCTCTGTAGGCCAGAAGCTTGGTGGAGAACTGAAGCTCCAAGTTAGAGCTTTGGGTAAATAAGCAGTGCATTGTATGAGCATGTGCTAAGGCACCCCCGAATGGCTGCCATGGGAGATTCAAGCAATTCTCAAACATGCATAATTGAGTCAAAGCAACACTCTGGGTATGTGCTTGATAAGGATATTACATTACATGATGCTCCAAAAAGTTGATTTTCCATAATATCTCCCTCAACCTTTTGAGTAAAAATTAAAAAAAGCAGAATTAAGCTACACCCTTTAACCAACCATGCAGAGTCAGTGGATTAGAACATAATGACATATTTTGAAGACTGCTTTCTACTTGGTTAGACTAATGGCAATGTAAACCTGGGTGATCATATGCCCCTAGTAGCAGTATTTAAATTCTGCTAACTGTTTTTACTCTGGCAGCAGACCACCAATGCTAAGATCCACACAATACAATAAAGATTAATGTACAATTTAGGTAATAAAGAGTCTGTTAAATATAAAACTCCAGTTCATAATTATTAATGCAAAGATAATAGTCTGTTTTCTTTCTGTAGCAAATTGTCCACCCAATGAAATCCTTTCATCAGAGTTGGTTTGACATCCTTATTTCACACATCGAATGTGTCTGGCCTCATGACAACCATAAAGAATGGCTTTGAGCCGACCCGCTAGAAACTGGCAAAATTTATTAGCCCCATCACCCATCAATCAGCCAAATGGATTTCAAACCGCATTTTAAAAGCTAATTTTCCAACACTGATAACCTACAGGAAAAAGAGCACCATTATTTATGAAGGTTTTCAGACTTGCTAAGTGTAGCAGGATAAATGTGTAAGGGAACTATTGTCTTTTATCTATCCCCTTTTAAATGGATATTTAAAGCACATTTTTCCTCCAGCAGGCCTTGCTGTGGTGTGTGAAGTGCCAGATCTAACAGTCATCCAGCAGGGTTTTATTTACAATAGAAAAAAATAAACACATACTTTTAATACTGTGATAGCAGTATGGTCAAAAGGACTAATACACTTTATTGCCAACTGTATAATATTGGTTGAAACCCCCCCTCAGAAAAAAAATAACTCTTAAGGCTCATATTGATTCCACATGAGGTGTTATAGCTTAAGTGCTGCAGAACCTATTTAATTCAATTTAGTTTATTTATGTAGTACCAATTCACAATTTCAATTCAGTCACACATACATTCCAATTGATCCTAACAGTGCATTTTGGGTTGGTGTTTTTTTTCACCACGTCTAGAAGTCTACATGTATTGAGATGCAGCCATTTAATTGTGTGCATTCCTATTTTTATTATTAGCAATTAAACAAGTGTACTTAATGAAGCAAACAGTAAATGGATGTCAGACTAATAAAGGTTATAAGCTGTATTAAGAAAGATTCTGTATTGGGGCAAAAATGTATCCATCTTATGCTATGTTGGCAATTTTGCTAACACTAAAGTTATGCTTTCAAGCCAGTTCAGCTTCTTAATGGTGGAGTCATTCCCAGTTAATGACGTCTTAGCTTTGGGGGATGGGAAAAAAGATATGTCATCTTGTAAAAATTAAAACACTCAACATGTTTCCAAATCACCAACAAAGTTCACTTTTGTTTCTTTTTAAACAAAGAGAACCAAATGACTTCATGACACAAACAGTGAAGGTGCTTATTAGTCATGGTTCCACTGCCAAGAAGCACCAAACAGAAGTGTCTGTATGAAAGACCTTATCCTCTGCATCCATACAGCCCAACTGGGTGCAAATAAGAGTAGCTTTGAAACAACAATTTTAGTAAGCAAGTGTATTTGAAATGGATTGAAATGGGTATATTTAAGAAGATTCAGGCTTAAATAGTTTGAAGAGATTCCATTAAACGGTTATAAACTAAACTGAGTGTACAGATATTGTGTAGATCAGTTAGACTACGAAGATGTACCTGTTGTGTCTTGAGATTCAGACAATGTAAAATGGATTAGCTATAGTGTAATTCATTTAGCTATGAAGGTTTAAAACTATGTTGAAATTCACAAATTTTCTTAAGTGTTTAAGCTATTAAAATGAAGTGACTCGTTGTCAGAAATAATAAGTGAAATCTACAGTAATTGCAGTGGTTAAATGAATCTTAACTTTGTTAATATGCTTTTTAGTAATCCTTTGCTCAGGTGTAACAACAAAGATGAGTGAGTAACTGGATACTAAAATAAATACAAATCAGTAACTTGATCAGTTAGTGTCTAAAAAGGACACAAACACAACATTTCTAGATTAATCGTTGCACCAGTATTTG